AAATAAGTTGATTCGGCTAAGTAAAGGATTTTCAATTTAGTAGTTAATTAGTTTGAAAACAATACGTAAATCAGAGTGAAGTTTACGTGTCTCTAGAGGAATTAAGTACTGTTCAAATTGCATATATTCAATAATCGTTTCACCTATTTTATAGGCTAGGATTCTGAGAAATTTAAACTGTAAAGACTTAAGTTTGTAAATAGATTTATCAGTGTAGGGATTCAAGTCCTTACTAGCGATATGTAAAGAGTAGTCAAGGCTTTAGGGTCGAGATCTGTAAAATAATAAGATATGAAGGCTCAAAGTTAAGTTAATTTGTGTTAAAAAATAACACGTATAAAAACTGTTGGTAACTAGTGGTAGAACATCAAAGTCGGATTGAAGAAGCCATCATGTATAGATGCACTAGACAGGAAAAATTTTAAGTCATCAGAAGTTGTGTAATATTTTGAATGAAAGGAAGGTCGATGAAAATATTAAATAAGAGGTGGAAAGAGATGAGCAAATTGGGAACACCAGCGGACCCATTTATTACTTGAGACTGCTATCTGTCTAATATCACAATACTTTCGCGGTTAGTTAAATAACTAAGATCAAGGACCAAAATTGTCAGACATTTTTAAGTTTGAGAAAAAAAAGATTGTGGTCGACTCTATTAAATGCCTTGGATCTGTGTAGATGGCAGGTTACCTGATTCCCACATTCAAGTTTAGTTGATTGGGAACTGGAAATAGTTGGACTGGTTAAATTGGAGCGGAAATATATTTTCTTGAATATCTCGCTAACAGAATTCGATAAATAAATAACCCAATTCGAGTTTTTCTGGAATAATTTTAAAATTTCGTCAAAATTTAATTACTACTTTCATTCCAAGAAATAGAGTTCTTTGTAAAAAATTATTACTATACGTTTAAGGTCTTGAGTGAAAATCAAAGATTATTAACAAGTTGAAGTTTTTAATTTGTCATTTAGATGATATAAATGAAATTTGCTAAGGACAAGACTAACCTTGTACCTTAAAGATTACTTTTAAATTTACTTTAAATTCACTAGTTTCGTGGTCCGCTTGACCAATTAATACATTACAATTAATTAAGGTTTTTAGTTGAGATGAAAAAAAGTTAGTTGAAAAATGGCAAAAAGGAGGGAAAACTCATAAGGTGGGGTTGAGATAGGAAGTTGATGTCCGAGTGGATCGAGGTCACGATAGCACAGGTGGTAGAGCAGCGGCGTATCTAGCCGAAGATCGTGGGTTCGAATCCCGATCGTGCCATTAACTTTTTTTCACCTCAACTAAAAACGTTAATTAATTGTAATTTACTTTAACATTAAATTTTAATATTCAAATAAATCTAAACTAGACACAATAAATAAAATTCACTGGGAATTATACGCTAAGAGGCAAAAATAATGGCCGCCCTTAATATTTTTAATTATCTCTTAGGCAATCCGCCATTGATTATTTTACAACAATATTTGGTCCGTTTTAAAGGGTTGGAGTTAAATAAATCAGATAAAATATCATTTTTGAGTTTACAATTAGAAGTTGTAAATAAATCTTTAAATATTAAATCTCTTCTTGATTAGTTTTTTTATGCTTCTTGCCCAATTTTCAAGTTTCAAATTTGAACAAGTCAAGGGTATGTGGCCACCATCATTCCCAGAAGACTCAAAAAGGCATGGATCAAATGCCATCGTGTCACATCTCAGAGAGATGGTCATTTTAATGTTTCAAATCTACTACGTAATCGACAGTCTATCGATGTTGAGATGAAGCAACAACTTCAACAAGAAATGTTAATGTCAGTTTATGCGCTGCAAGGTGAAGACTTTTAGAAGCTGAATACGTGCGAGTAGGCCTGTCACTGGTCCAAAAATTCTGACAAGACACAGAATAGCTTGGTTAAGTTTTTCAAGAAATCACATCAATTAGTGTGAGCAACATTGGACTAAAAACTTGTTTTCGAATGAGTCACGGTTTTGTTTGAGGTCTATTGACGGCGGAGAAAGGGTTTGGAGAAGAACTGGAGAGCGATATAACCCCGTAATATTTCTGCAGCGCGATACATTGAAGATGTGACATCAGAAGAAGTTGTTCCGTATATGCTACCCATTGGCGACGGTTTTATTTTTATCCATGACAAAGGCCCCACACAATTCGTTGGTGACTACTTGGACTGGGCTTAAACTCAATGTTTGGAGTGGCCAGTGTCATTCCGACTTAAACCCTATCAGGCACCACTGGGACGCGTTTTCAAGTGATTAAAAAGTCGTTCAGTGATGGGAGAGAATTTACAGGAATTAAGATTGGTTCGAAGAGTATGAAAATATTCCACAGCAAAACATTCAAAACCTAATAAAATTGAGGTTATTAATTTTTTTTTTAAAGATTACAATTTACCAAAAAAACAAATCTAGCCTTTTTTTGCCTCTTATTGGATTTAAAAATGTGCTGAATTAAATATTGACAATGTCATTTTTTTTTAATTTGCAGTACAACTTCTTTCAAATAAGCAAATGTAACATGTAACAACGAGAAAGGAAATATATACAAATTAAAAACAAAAGTGAGAATAAACGTTGGTCTGTTTCCATTACACTTGAGTCATTATTATCTTAAATAGATTGAATTAATGGTTATTATTTTGCATTGATTTAATTTCCTTTCATACATTTATATAAAGGAAATATATATACGATTTTTTTCAAATTCTGTGTATATAAAATTAAATATATATAACAAATAGAATAAAATAAATCAACCAGATGTGTTGAAAAATTTCTAAAATTTCTATAATTCTAGTATGTTTTCTATACTGAAGTATGCTCATGTAGTAATCGTCAATATGGTTTGTGATTATTCAATATTCACAATTATTCAATTATTCTAATATTCACGCACTTTTTTATAAAATTATATCGTGTACATTTGTCAGACAAAACAAACTAAATATTTTTTTTAAAATAAAATTTTGAAGATAGCTTCTATATGGTTCATAAAGCAAGTATCAAATCATTAGTTTTAATAATTAGAATCACAGCCTGTAAAGTTTGAATAATTATATATTAATCGTTTGGCGTTTTTTGTGTGCTATGAAAATATTTAGAAAAATTAATCCTACAAAACCCCGAGAAGAAATTTGCAACTTTAAACATTAAACAAAAATCTCCGTTATTAAGAATATATTAACGATGTTTTATTTAAAAAATATTATTCTTATTACAATAGTTATTAAATAAAAGTATTCAGAATATGAATACTAAAGTATTCAGAATATGAATACTATGATATTACTTTTACGTTTGTAAAATTATAATGCTATAATAAATTAAAAAGGGGCAATTAAAAAAGAGGGATGAAAGTTCTATATAGATTGCTAAGATTGTTTTTTATTATGACCATTATTATACCTTTAGAAAAAAGAATCTCCCAAAATGTGGGTTAATGTCAAAGACCAATAAGGTTTGTAGTTCGGTTACTCCATTGTTTCATGCCCTTTGTTTTACACGTTATTATACCTGATCTTTTAGTATTTACATATATTTAACAAAAATCGATTAATGTAATCTGATTTTATGCCCCATTAATAATTTGACTATTAACGTCGACTTGGATGTTCGTGACTAATGTTGCGCCGCGTCCCCCAGTGAAACGTCCGTTATTGGTAAAACCCGTTAAAAACTGTGGCTAATTAATGGGCTCAAAGGCGCACAAATTACCCAACTTTCTAAATGAACAACAAAAGAGTACGCTAGTAAAAGATGAGCCGGATGAGAATACGTAAAAAGCCGCCGAGAGGTTTTAAAGGTGTGACTTCTTATTTGAAGAGGTAATGCTTCTACTCATAGTCAAACAGGATATCTATGAGCCCTGAAAACAGTAAATTCTGGCCACGGTCGTTATTTACCCATGTCTACCTTCTTTTCTCGTCGTTGGAATTCTAGGTTATAGCTTCCTTTCTATTAAATATAGAAGAATTTACTATCGGTATTCCAGATTTTAAAGAACCAGATAATTATGCTGTTTTGGAAAGATCTTAAACATTTAACAAATAAACATTTACAAGTAGTTTTACGTTGTTCATTGCATTGTCGCTATATAGTATAATTAATCTTAAATCATCAGTTATTAATAAAGATTTTGCCGTCTAATGTTAGATTTATCTTGGGTTCTTCCGATATTCACTTGCTTTCTCGGATGTTTAATAGAGCGTAGGTATTGTTAAGAAAATAATCTATCATAACTGTTCGAATCCTTCCATTATCGCTCTTACAACTCGAACAACAAACTAACAATGAACTCAATTCGGCAAATGATAGAATCGTGATCGACCTCGAAAGATGTTCAGCGATTTCTTTTGTGTACTGATCTGAACCTATTGGGTTGTCCGGAAAATAATGCAGGATTTTAAGTTTTCATTAAAAAAAATCTATATAAAATATTCTGTTTACGTTTACAGGATTACTNGTATGGGAAATTATTTTGATTAAAGAACATTGCTTTAAAGTAACTAGTTTCTTTTTTTTTGTTTAATACCAAAATCCTGCATTATTTTCCGGACAACCCAATAATAAAAGATGAGCATTACTTGTTTAGAACTTCGCCTACCGAAAAAAACTTCCTTTACTAAATTATTGCCTCTATCACAAAGTAACTGATAATTTTCATATTTATTGTTCTAGGTTTGTCAGACATGTTCAGACTTAAAAACAATAATAAATTATTGACTCAGAATGCTGTGTGAATGAACCAATCAATAATAAAACTGCTCATAATCAAAGTCACATTGTTCTATATCTACCAAGCTTGATTAAAACATGAAATATTTCAGTCATATTAAAAAATTTTTAATTTAATACGACAAAAAGTTAGCAAACTAAAGAATTATTCATTCGGCGTCATATTATATTGTTTTTCTTCTGTGATTGAAAGCTTATTCAGAAAATTAATTTAAGTTGGAGATAATAATTGGATTAACGAGAATTGTTTAATGTTTCAGGGAGGAGATGATAAAGGAAAAGCCGAAGGGAGTGTATCTAAGAGAGAGGATTCCGATCAGATAGCCCTCGAGACCGGACATGTGGGCGGCGTGGGAAACGGCGGATATCACGAGCAATGGCCTGCTCCACAGCCGGAACTTCCAGTGATCACTTCGCTGGACGTCAAGTGCGAGAAGAACAGCATGAAAGTGTTTATCGGCTTCGACAAACCCTTTTATGGAATTGTGTTCAGCAAGGGCCATTACAGCAACGCCAATTGCGTCCACCTTCCCTCCGGGCTTGGTAGGTCGCAGGCGAGCTTCGAGATCGGCATCCACTCGTGCGGCACTGCAGGCAACACTGAAAATGGCCTGTACGGCTATGGCGCTGATTCAGGCTCTGGAACATACTTCGAGAACATCATCGTCGTCCAATACGACCCGCAGGTGCAAGAGGTCTGGGACCAGGCGAGGAAGCTACGCTGCACGTGGCACGACCAGTACGAAAAGTCCGTCACCTTCCGGCCGTTCCCGGTCGACATGTTAGACGTGGTCAGAGCGGACTTCGCCGGAGACAACGTAGGCTGCTGGATGCAGATTCAGGTCGGCAAAGGACCCTGGGCCTCAGAGGTGTCCGGCCTGGTCAAAATCGGACAGACCATGACTATGGTTCTCGCCATAAAAGACGACGACTCCAAATTTGACATGCTCGTCAGGAACTGTGTGGCTCACGATGGAAAACGAGCTCCGATCCAATTGGTCGACAGGAGAGGATGTGTCACCAGGCCCAAATTAATGTCAAGGTTCACAAAGATCAAAAACTTCGGTGCCAGTGCGAGTGTACTTTCTTATGCCCATTTCCAGGCGTTCAAGTTCCCGGATTCGATGGAAGTGCATTTTCAGTGTACCATACAAATTTGCAGGTAATTTATTTATAAGTATTTCCTTATTTTTAAGTTAAACCCCCATGTGGTAAATCATGTACATTTATTTCATATTTTAATATACTGGGCTTCACCACTTTTATTGTCAACAAAGCAACCCTTTAAACATTGATCTCAATTTATTTGGTTGGCATTTATGAACACTAGAATTGTTTAGATCTATCGCATCTTTTAATATTGAAATCCCACGCCATTTTAAATTTTCAAAACTGACTATTCAAAAATATTAGCGCTAAGTAATGGTTGGCATGAAAGATGTAAGATGTAAGATTCGGCATTCTGCGCACTTTGAGTTTGAGAGCTATTGTGTACCCGGTTTTATACCTATAGCACACAGGTGAGTTCAAATTCGTCAAGGTCCGATTTTAATGTCTGTATTTCCTTTATAATTATGTTGTACATCCCCAAAGCTGTTCCTCTTGCAGATAAGTGTAGTACCACAGTTTATTAATTGGTGCAAACCAAGAAAACCTGCTAGAATTCGTAATTTTTTCCTGCTTTCTTTCACGCATTCTACAGTCTCTTTCTTTCCAAATTTCATCAGCAGATTTTTGGATTTTCTGTGTCTAGTGAGTGAATCCCATTGGTTACTCATTTTTACCATGTATTTTTCATAAAATGCTCATTGGCATTTCCTTATGGCACAAAAACGACCTATTAGCGGCCTTGCAGTCCCTTCCTTAGAAAGACCATCCGGTTCCTCTTCCCCTCCTGCATGACCATGAGCCATCTTGAACTAATAATGTTTGAGTTTGATGCTCTGGTAGATGCCTGGCTCCGACTATCTATCATGATAGATCAAACTGTCCTTGTTTTGGCATCCTGCTTGAAAGATAATCGTGTACACATTTCCATGGGCTCCGAGTATGGTGTTCCGGTCCCTGTACTTTCTTTCATTCTAGCTCTATCAGTGTGTCAGCAGATGAGACGGTGCCTGTCTTAACGCAAGTTTTTCCTTTTCATAACTTTTTTCGTACCCAGGTTTATCTGGAGGCTTTGGGTAAATTCAGGCATCCTGTTCTGGCGGCGAGTAACAGATATTCACTCATTAGGCTGTTCTTGTCTCTACATTTAAGTTTTAATCTTTTTTGAGGTTCTGCTGGGAGACACTGCTAAAGGAAAACGTTTGGGTTCATTCGTTCTTCATCGCCCCAGAAAACCCTACAAGTGATGGTGGTTCCGGTTTAAGTTTATCAATATTATGAAAGTGCGAATCTTGAGAAATATTTAAATTTAAACTAATAAATATAAAATGTGATATAGTTTTGTTGAGTTGGGATTGCTTTTTAGCTGCAGTAGCAAATCGTTAAAAAAGCTATTTTTTATTAACTGCTCAATGTTTCTCTTTGTTCAAATGCTTAAAGGATAATGTTTGTTGACAGATACCAGTGTCCAGAGCAATGTTCCGAGCAGACCGAACACCACGAAACCGGTTCTATCGACGTGGTGCACCTGAGAGACGAGCGGGCGCCGACTTGGTACAAGAGGGCCCGGCGTTCAATAGGACAGGAAGTGGGCGTGAACAGGGTCATCAAAGTCGTCTCGACCGGTGATCTGACCTTCCCATTAGACGACAACAGCAACACGACATCCACGCTCGTTTTCCCGGTGGCAACGGAAGCAGGTGTGATCTGCATGACGACGCCCGGTTTCGCTGCTACGCTCATCGTACTCCTCGGCATCCTCCTCGCCTCTTCGCTCTTCTCCGCCCTTCTCTGCATGAGGCTCAAGCCCAAAATGACCAAGTGCTAACCTCGAGCTTAAATCCTGGTCGCCTTACGGAAAAGGACGGGAACGAACTGTTACCACGGTCGTTATTTTATGATCCGATTTTCTTTTCTTATGTGTTTTGTATGCGATTTGGCAGTGGCCCGTTCGACTTCTACAAAGGAATATTTGCGCGACGGGGTCAAATCACCTTTTTGAAAAAAGATATCACAAATATAATAATCAAAACTTAAAAACTTCATTCAATAAAAGTTGTAATATCAGGTAGCACCATTAAGGTAAAAATCGTTGAAACTAATATTAAACGTTAAACAATAAGAAATTTGTCATTTTCCAAACTCTGTAAATAACCAAGTATGGCCCTTAAATGATAAGTATCCTTTAAATTAATATAATATGAATAAAAGAAAAAACACAAACATAGTTTGCAATAAAAGTACCTGAATTATTTAAAATATTATTATAAATTTAAAAAAAAAAACCTCTTAATACTACAATTGTCACGACCAAAGACATCTTAGGTTATTTCAATTTTCTACCTCTTATCTTAAGCCGGATCGACTTATTATTTGACGATGCCTAATTATTACAACAACAAAAAAATGAAGAAACCTAAATGAACTTTTATTTTTCCTTACGAATTAATTCGTAAATGGTTTGCTATTTTGGTACATATTTCATTTAAGCAAAACAAAAGATTTCTTTTTAATCATCAAATATGCCATATTTAATTTTGTTATGTCAAATACGTGAAGTATTTTATGCTTTAACATTTAACGAAAATTCGTCAAGAATATGCTAACTCCGTGTATCCAAGTCGAACCCGCGCCACTGCCCAGTGTAAAATAATCGCTTTTTTACACGTCTTTTTGAAAAGCTCAAGTGCCAAAGCCTGACCACTATCAAAATTCAATTCAAATGTGACCGACTAATCAAAACGCTCAATCATCATTCTAAATTTTTAATCAAATCGTAGTCTTATAAGTTAAGCCTTGTCCCTGGAATATTGAATTTGGCACGGTTGCCATTTCTATAAATCAAAACCGACCAAAGATTGTTGATTTTATTTTTTTTAAAAGTTCAATTTTTGTGTCTAAACTGGACGCTTTGTCAATTCAATATTCTTATAATGTATTTTGTAAAAGTGTGTGTAAATATTATTTATTGTTGAGTGAATTTATTTATTGTTTAGTTTTATTTTAATCGTATTCTATCTCCTTTAATTAATTACCTTCTCCCAATGGAATGTCCGGAAACATCCGGTACCACGCTCAATTGTAATGTCTAAATAAAAAAAATTGTTTAAATCAAATAAGTATGTGATGTGTAAATATTATTTATTTATTTATTTATTTTGTGTATGGGGAAGGAGTGTGAATAAAAGAGATTTTTAAGCTATTTGTGACAGCAATTTATTTTTTCTTTACTGAAAAAAAAATTGAAACTCGTTTTTTCCCCTTAGTTCGTACCGGTAGATCGGAATCCGGTAAAGTAGGCCACGTCTGGGTCACTGACTAACCCATTACAAGATTCTCTCGCCCTCCTGCGGATATGAAGATCTGGGATTATAAAACCACTATTACACCTTTTGAGTAATGTTCCGCGATGTTTTTTTTTCTTTTAATAGGAAAATTTTTAAAGGTTCATCGTTTAAAAAAAATTACAAGCGACTTTCGGTCAAAGATGATTATTTTCACATTTTTACGTATCCTTCTTTGTCACTGTATACATTTGGTTTGGAATAAATCGTTTTCTCCTATTCATTGTACATCATTTTGTTAAACACCTATTTCCAGTATTTTTAGTTTTAAAGTAATATTTTTGATATGTATAAAGTGTGGTGATTAGTGACCGTTAATCGATAATTATTCAGAAATCGTGAGATGCGGTCTGGTGTGATGTAGGTTTTAGAAAAACATTTTTTTTATCGTGCCAACGTTTCGATCTTTACTGAGATCATCTTCAGGGCTCAAAGTGTTTGTTTCTTGCGTAACTGTGTCATTCTTGTGTGTCGGCACTCTCGATGAGCCCTGAAGATGATTTCAATAAAGCTGGAAACGAACGTTGGCACGATAAAGAAAATGTTTTTCTAAAACCTAAATCACACCAGACCGCATCTCACGATTTCTGAATAGATATGTATAATCTTTAAAGCTATCAACTAGTTTTTTAATTGTTTGATCTTTTCTCTTCATATACATACAAAACCCTATTTATATTTTATATATACTATTTATTTCGTTTCGTCGTTATCAAAATATCAATAAAAAGGTAATAACATTAATGTCACTATGTGTATTTTCGCTAGTTTATGTTTCACTCAAAATCGTTTCAACTTCACTACATCAGGAATTGATCAGAAAGATCCATTCCGTTCAAAATTTCAACATTTGTCGAATTTAAACGTCGAAAAAATCAAATAGCTGGTGAAATTAATTAATTTCTCGTCCTTTTAATTTAATTATTGATTTTTGTTGTCATGTATGAATTAAAACCTTTTGTCCGCTGCTATCTATTTAGGTCTGTTATGGAACCTCTAATTTATGGAAGTGCACTTTTTCTTTCCTCGGTACCTCTTTAGAGTTTTTGATGTAAGAGTTGCTATACCATTTCCTGACTAGTGCTTCACATTCACAAAGGATATTTGCCAATATTTCTGGTTTATCGTCGTAGAGACAGCAGGTTTATCTCTACTTTTCCCATCTTTTTTAGGTGGAAGTTCAAATAGCAGTGGTCTGTAAAAAGACCTATAATGTTCAAGAAATCTTCCTTTGCTTCTCTTAGCTTGCCTCATATCTGATGGTTTTATCCAGGACTTGAGTTTTCTTTTTCAAGCTTTTACCTAGCTCCAACTTGAGCTCTCCTCAGATGTTCCTAATTATGGTCACCTTGGGTCAGAACCTTTTGTTTAGCTGTTTGGTAAGCCTGTTTATACCTTCATGTCCCGGAACCCTCCCGGTTAAAGTAACCTTTGCGTGTTTTATAAGGTAATTTAAGCATTCCCAGATTACTTTAGATTACATATTTAATACCTTTATAGCACTATAACTGTCTGAAAGAATTTATATATGTGCATCTTCTTTATCAACTTGTGTGAACTTCTTGATGTTTAGAGTTGGAATTAGAAGCTTAGAAAATTTTTGGTACCCAGTTCAAGGGGTTTTGCTAAGATATAATTCAGTCATTTTACCCCTATACCTATCCCCTGTTTCTCTTCTGTAGTGTCCTACATTAGTGTCCTAAAATAGTGGTTGCCTTTCTTTTAAAGATCTTTGTTTTTACTTTTTCCAAAATATCATTTCCTGATTGAAAAATAATGATAGAGAAAAAACTATAAAAAGTTTTATAAAAATGTAAGAATTGCTATATTGAATGAATCATGACATGGGAGTATGAAATTTGAATGTCTATCTGTTTCGCTTGTCAATTTTACATTTTCAGTCGAAATCTGTTAGAAATATTTGGCAGGTGTCGTTCTAAAATTATTGGAAACGTTGATAAAATACCCAAAAACATTGACACTGAGAGATAAGCGACACAAATATCTGATTTATTTAACATAATTTTTTTATATTTTAAATACGGTTTTAATCAAAATATATGTCAACAAGAAAAAAATATATTCCTTTTTAATATCATTTTAATTTTAATCACATGTTGGGTCTTTCGGTGGAATACAATCTCCGACCCGGTCCACGTTCGGCGATAAAAGTCGGCAAATTGCATATTTTAAAACCAGGTTTCCGAATTGAGTGAAAAAATTTGAGACCCAGGTCAAATCGTTAAATTGCCAATTCCGTTATGCCGCTAATAATATCTTCCCCTTTCAAGAATTGGTCCACTTTCCGTTGCAAAATACGGCCGTAGACAAACCGTTTATAGTTTCCTGTTAGGGTGTGAAGTGGAACTGTTACGAATTCTCAATTATTCACGATTGTTATACAACTTTCGATTGTTTGTTTTCTAATTTAATTGCGGCGCGATAATTCCCATTATAATTCTCACGGGGATAACGGTTCATTCCAAACGTTTCGCAGAGTTTTTAAAAGTGTGCCGATTCTTCTTCTCCTTCCTTTTCGATTACTTAAACGACGTAAATTGTGAACAAATTATGTAATAAGATATATACAATACACACACAAGTAAGGGGATAATTAATGACCATTATTATTTCTACTTTGTAACGCGTGTAAACAGAACGATTCATTAAAAATTCATCTCGCTTTGTCCACTTTAGTTAAGTAAGCAGAAGCAATAAGAGTAAAATGAGACAAGTCAACAATACAAATTAGCATTAGGAGAGTGATGTTCATTGGAAGAAGTCGAAATGACCCCCCAGCATGGGTCATGTTGGCCAACGCCCTACACGGACCTACTAACCCATCTGGGAAGAAGAATATCTATCCCTACTCTTAACTACTTCCAGCAGTTTAGCACCTATCCCTACCGCTCTTTTAAACCCCAACGTAATTACCAATAATTCCAAATCTGGATCATTCTACTTTTTTTAAAAAAATTCCTGATTTACAAGCAGTTTAAAAAACGGCTCCTTGGTCAAAGTGACTGGGCAAAAATTTGCAACTCCTCGCCCCGTGGGCGGGACGTTCACTTCTCCGCCCTACTTTAATCGCCGGTAGGCATTAATAAAAAATTTCTGTAAAAAAATTAATTGGAGAAAGTTGAATAAGAATACCAAAGTTGGAATTATAATTTACCGAATCGTTCACATTTATTATCTCTCACACATATTGTATGTTGTAAATGACATCAGTGTCGATCAGATCAACAAGTGTTCATCCACAAACTTATTAACATACACCTACAAATTTAGCACACATTCTAATTTAATTAAACATATTAATGCAATGCAAGACCATATATCGAAATATTACTTATAAAACACCAATATTTATTGTTTTGACTTTACCCAAAACCATTATTGTGTGTACTATTGTGTTGTGAGTACACGTGTACATATATATATATATANTTATTATGGAATTTTGCTGTATTGCATTCAAATGAACCAATGTGATAAGAGTGTGTTGGCTAATCCTCTATTTAGATGTGTTCATTTATATACAATATATATGTATAAAGTAGGAGGTTTATGGGCCGACAAACAGAATAGAAATAAAACATACAATACATACAGACATCACCACAAACATAGATCTCTGTTCACATTCACTCCCCCTGAGTACTCGACATGCCTCGGGGCGGGGTTGGACCCACTCCATTCGCGCTAATAACTTCCTTTTACTCTCTACACGTCACACACGCACCCTAGAGTACTCGATATTCCTTGGGGCAATTAGCTAGTAGTAATTAAGAATGTGTGGATGGCTTATGTGGTCTGAGATTCTTACTCCTGGGAGAGGAAAAGCCCGGCCCAGAAGGATCCAAATGGGAGCCCTTGAAAAAGCTTTG